TTTCACATTACTTAATGTCCCAATATTTTATTAAACATGTGTCACTGATTTGTCTATTATTTATTGATCATTTATCTTTTCCAGTCATCTATCCATCTTATTTTCTGAGGTATATCAAAATTAACTCAGAGTATTTCTCTTATTTTTAAAAATACAATAAAACATTATCATCATTGACTATAAAGACTTAGCAGCTAAATAAATTGGGGATGGAGTTATGTGCTATCAGTACCAGAAAAGGGAAGATGAAAATGATTTAGGTGTTCTCTTGGTAGACACAAAAGAAAGAGCTCAGGAACTGCTCTCTGCATGTAAAAAGAGAAGAAAAGCCACAATTTGTCAGGTGTTCTAGGCAGAGTAATAGCCACTAAAAATCTGAAAAGTATTGGTGGATGATTGGAAGAAAGGAGAAAGAAAAAATGGGATTAAAAAAGGGAAATATCCAAAGGATTCATCTCTTTGATATGACCTACAAAGCAGCAGCCTTGGATGAAAGAATATAATTTTCCAAAGACAACAATATCTAGCAACACAAGGCCACTGCCCCAGAAACTACAAAATGGGGATAACTTTATATATATCCTCTGATCTCTTCTCTTCTCCACCTAATTCCACCTAAAATATTAAGATGTTTTTTAAGCCCTCAGTTCAAAATAGTTCCTATCCTTATTACTTCAATTCTCAACAAAGTCTCTGAGTCTAAAATAGACTTATAAAATGGAGGGTCCAAATTGCATAATAGTTTCATAGACCTTTAGAGCTGGAAAAGATCTGTTGAATCTTCCAGATCAACTTTTAAAAAATTTTTTTAGTTGTAGATGGACACAATACCTTTATTTTATTTATTTTTATATGATGCTGAGGAACTAACCCAGGGCCTCACACATGCAAGGCAAGCACTCTACCACTGAGTCACAATGGCAGCCCTTAGATCAACTTTTAATCAAACCACTCTCATGACTCCAAGACCATGTTTCTTTCCATCTCTTAAGTATGATTGGCTGGACTTTTTTCAATATCATCAGCTCCAACTTAGAAATCTGGATCCACACTGAACAGATCCTTCTCAAAAGAAATATGAATGATCAACAAATATGTGAAAAAAATGTTGGACTTTTCCAGAAATTATAGAAATACAAATTAAAACTACACTGAGATTCCACCTCACTCCAGGCAGAATGGCAATTATCAAGAATACAAATAAAAATAAATGTTGGTGAGAATATGGGGAAAATGGAATGCTCATACATTGCTGGTGGGACTGCAAATTGTTGCAAGCACTCTGGAAAGCAGTATGGAGATTCCTCAAAAAACTAGGAGTGGAACCACCATTTGACCTAGTTTTCTCACTCCTTGACATATACCCAAATGATTAAAATCAGCATACTACAGTGACATGGCCACATCAATGTTTATTGTAGTAAAATTCAGAATAGCTAAGCTATAAAACCGACCTAGATGCCCATCAACTGATTAAAGGTTAAAGAAATTGTGGTATTTATACCCAATGGAATTTACTCACCCATAAAGAATAGTGACTTTATGACATTTTCCAGTAAATGGATGGATCTAGAGACTATCATGATATATGAACTAAGCCAATCCCCCAAAAAACAAAGGTTGAATGTTTTCAATGATTTGTGGAAGCTAAACAACAATAAAAGGCTAGGAGTGGTAGAAGAGAAGTTCAGTAAATTAGACAAAAGGAAACAAAAGTAAGGGAAGGGGAATAGGAATAGGAAAGACAGTAGAATGAATCTAACCTAATTTTCCTATGTACACATAACAAAATGCCTAAATGAATTCCACTATCATGCCCACCCATAAGACTGGGATCCTAATTAGAATAAAATATATCCTATGCTTGTATAATTTTATCAGAATGGATTCTACCCTCTTATATAACTAAGAGGAACTAATAAAATAAAATTAAAATAAAGAATCTGGATCCATTCTTGAACCCATTGGCAGTCTCAAACTCTTTTATTAATGAGTCACAAGATCTAAGAGATTCCCTTTCTCTTCCCTCCCCCCAATCTCTGTCCATCAGCCTCAGACAGGCAATGAGGATAACACTCAATCCACTGACCAGTTACCCTTTTTCCTAGAAAAAGACCAGATCCATGCCCAGTTCCCCAGCAGCTATCTCAAAGATGGACTACTACACTCTATCATGTTTCTTCTCCATTGACATTGGTAGGCACTGTCTACCATCATCAAGTCATTTGCTTAAGTTGTCCTTGAATGCCTGAAAATTGGCAGATTAAAAATGGAAACTGGGTAAAACATAATTCATTACAGGAAGCTCTTAAGTCTCATGACTATTTGTCCTACAACAACTCCCAGACAATTCAGGCATGGTTGCTATTGTCTTTTAAGAAAAAAAGTCCAGAATACCTGGGCATAGTATTCAAAGGCCTCCTTTGCAACCTTGATCTCTATATTACCTGGTTGGTTCAGTAGTTACATGAGTCATTAAGTGCCCCTGGTGTGTCCAGCACCTCCTTGCCTCCTATTCTGCCTCAGTCTCTGCATTCAGCATTGTTAGTGTAAATGTTACCAAGAATCCTTCATGGCCAACCATTAATATATCTTGAGGACTCACCCAAACTGGAAATGTTCATTAAATATTAGGAGGCCTTAAAGTTGCAGACCTCACCGGGTGGGCTGAGCCACCTAGGTGGCAATGAGAGATTAGAACACATGACTACCAAACTACTAGTCTAGAATATTTTTTACTGTTCTGCAAGGCTCCTGCCTTTTCTGTACCCCTAATGTACTCTGTCTTTCTGCCTGACAATATGATCAGTATATTTACTTTTCCCAAAACAGACTTGAAGCCCTCAAAGAGCAGAAGCTTATTTTACTACTCCTCTTTGTACTCTTGTCCAATTGCTCAGCATAATACATCCCACCAGCATATACTCCATATTTTTGTGTCACAAGCCAAGTTACCTTGGCAGTGAACAGAAAGCCATGCAGCTACCATAGGAAAATGCAGGCAACTTCAAAGTGGTCCCTTAATTTTTACCATTCAGAACCTTGGCTGTTCAGAAAAAAGCTGTAGTCATTGAAAGCCTATCTCAAGTGGATAGATATTAGAGTGACAGTTTAGCCCATGAAAGAAGGTGGCAAGATTGCACTGCTCCTGAAGGTGGCCCATCTTCAATACATTATGGAGTTTTGATCCTATAACTCCCCCAAATGTTTGTGTGCAAGACATCCAACCCCATTTGTTTTTATTTTTGCTGATCACTTGACATTGGTAGACACTGTCAAGAGGAATCTTTGAGATAGCCAAGAAAATTCTAATTTTCTGACTTTACAAATAGGGTAGTTGGGGCATAGAAAGGTGCTGAGACTTCCCTAATGTCACATCACCTGTAAGTGACAACCTCTCAATTCCTTTGGGCAAGCCTCTTTCAGCTCCAACAAATCGTCTTAACATGAGATATGGAATAACTGCAGCCTCCCTGAATAGTTTCTTCTTTCACAAAGCAGGGGTCCTATTTTTCTGTTTTAAACATTCTGTTTTTTGACTACCAGGCATCCCCCCACTCACTCACTCACACACACACACACAAATTACACATGTCCTCTTCATGTCAAAGGAAGGTGGCTCCAGCTGCCCACACTGAAACAATCTGGACTTTCAAAAGCTCAGATATCCCTCTAGGTGTTCAGTTGAACAATTATTCTAGAGTTAAATGTGCATTTCAGCCAACCTAGTAATTATCCTGAGAAGAAGCTTTTGTAAGCTGCCTAAGTGTAATCATTTCTTGCCAAGCCTGAGCCTTAAAAATGAATACAGAATGCATACAGTGAGCAGTCTGGACCAGAGATCCCAGAGTCTCAGGCTTTCTCCATTGGGGGGGGGGACATGATGACTGATCCCTTAATTTATGATTTTTGTTTGTTTATGGCCATACTAGGAATGTTACTTAGGGACTTAAGCATGCTGGGCAAGCATCCTACCGTTGAATTAATCCCCCAGCCCCTTAATCCACCTCTTACTCACATAACACAAATTCCCACATGAGGTCTGAATATCATCTAATATCATCTATAACACGGAAGCCAGGTGGTTATTTAACATCTTTCTTGCTTAAGAGCCTTTAATAACCTGGGCCCCACTACCTCCCTGCCATTTTATCATTGAACAGATGGTAATTGGTAAGTGAGATAATTTATGCTGAGTACTCAGTAAAGTGTCCAACACATAGTAAAAGCATTCCTCCTCCTTCTCTATTAGAAAGTGCTTTCTTACAGTAATCCTTCCCCTGGTACCCATCTTGTTGAATTCTGACCCATCCTAATTCTCCTTCCTGGTACCACACAGAACAAATAATACTTTCTCATAGCTTTGCAGATATTTGAAGAGAGCTCCTCTGTCCCCCTCCCTTCTCTCACCTTGATACACTGCAAAATTGCCCTCCAGCACACCTGATTCATCTTTCTAAATAGAGGCAGCTTAGATATGGTCTTTCTTTCCACAAAATCATAACATTTATTACTGGAAGATAACACTTGTGCCCTTCCCTAGAAAGTTGGCCTAACAGAGGTGAACTCAGCCTCCTCCTTGCACTCCGAGAAGTAGCTCAACACCTTGGCACAATATTGAAGTTTCCTGCAGCCTGAGGTCCTGGATCTCAGAGAAACCAATGGCTTTTTGCTGCCAGTGTCAGCTTACCCATCCCTGCCCTGAATTCCTCAACCATCTCCTCCTTTCTTCCTCAATTCCCTACTCCATCCCCTAAAATCCTAAATCCCAAATCTATAAACTGGGTTGGTGACCCATGCAAACTGGCTGTTGGGCCAAGTTGTGGCAGGCTGGCGTCCATGCTCACTGCTCTACCCTGGCGTGTCCCACCCATCCCTGTCAGGGTTCCCTAGTAGCTATGGTCTCTACCAATTTCCAGGAGCTGATGGCAAAATCGTGCCCTTCCTCTGCCGGTGTACGCATGAAGTCAGCAGGGAACCGGTAGCTTGTTCGCAGTTACCTTGCTAGAAGCGAAGAAGGAGCAGTAGCGCTCCGTCGGACCACTGGACCAGCTAGTGGGTGAGTCCGCACCACAGTTGTGTTCGCTGCACCACGCTGTGCCACGGGGTGGTCAAAGTGGCGGGGCTGCAAGCCGGCGACAGTCCTGTTTGCCCAGAACCGGACAGAGCCACTGACGACGGGGCGCCTGGCTAGCGGGCTAGCTGGAGGCTTCTGGCGCGGTGGTGGCTTCAGAGGGAGTCCCACTGTGACGAAGCACGGCTGTTCTCTGCCTCAGCAGCCCTCCTAGCAAGAGAGCCTCTGCGCGATTTAGATGGTCCCTAGCCCCCTGCAGAGCCTCTCGGGAGGGGAGGGCTCGTCGCCTCCCAGGGCAGGTTTATGAGCGCGCCTGGGAGCGCTCGCGGAGGTGCACGCGGCGCCAACTAGGGACCAAGGAGGCCTTCATTGGACTGAGCTGCTCCCGGCCGCTGCTCCTCGCCAGGGACTGGCCGTCGGGGCGGCGGATTCTGTGGGTCACAATTGGCGGAAGATGGAGCCACAGAGGCAACGCCAGGGGGAGGGGAGGGGCCACAACTCTGAAGTTGGGGTCGGAACACTGCCGCCAGCCAGTAGGAGGCTGGCTGGAGGCCAACACACGGTCCTTTCCGCGCTCCCCAGAGGCGGTCTCAGGCGACCTTGCCACTCCGGAGAAGGTAGGAGCTGTGGTGCCCAAGTCAGGGTGCACACCATGTGAAGGAGAGCCAATCCAGCCGCACCCCGCTGCCTACTGGGGTCGTGCAGTCCACCTCGGTCAACCAAGCTCGGAATTGTAACCCAAATATTTCCTCAGCCTAATTATTGAGCGGGTAGGAGTAAATGGCAGCGAGCAGGGATGAGGTGGTAAAAGCAAAGGGGTCCACCTCTTAGCAAGCTGCGAAGAGAGGCTACCTGCACCCGCCACCCAAGCTCCCCGCAGAGCGCGACACCCTCCTGGAAAACCTCCTCACACTCCTAGGAAGCGGGGCAGGCTTGCCGGGGACTGGAAGGTGAGGGCGCAATCAACTGTCCTCAATCATTTTCCCGGATCTGTTCAATGGACTTATCGGTTTCTCTGCAGCGATTGCAATACCTCCAGGAAGGCAGAATCCTTACATATTAATCACAGTGTGCAGTTTTAAAGACCTTTTTTTTAAAAAAAAAATTAGCGCTATAATCTTACGATTCAAATCAACAAGCCTGGGGCAGTTGAGAAGAGCCAGCTGGAGTTCTGTGGGCCCTGCAACTTGAATGGGTGCTTTCCGTACCTCCTTCAAGGTATGTACTAGAACTAGGAAGGTCTGCCTCCTCTGGGTCATGCCTCTTGACTGGAAAACCCCGCATTTGAGCCCTGCTCCTGCTCTGTAAGGGAAAGCCACTGACTTTAGAATTTTCCAGGAAGTCTTAATGGACACACCCCTGTTTTAAAATAGATTAGGATAATCAACCTGGCAATTATGCTAATAAAACTGTATAATATGCGGTGGTGGGGGACAACCACACAAATCACTTCCACACTCTTTTTAAAATACCAGTGCAATGAAGGCAGCTGTGTGAGGCCACACTCCCCTAGTTAAGACTTCCTCAAAATTCTTCCTAAAGACAAAAATGTAAGACTTCACTACCACTGAATGGACCTGAACAAGTTTATCCTGTAATGTTGCCAAGGAGATGCCACTTAGGTCCTGGCTTGCAGAACAGATTGTCAGTCTCATGGGAAGTCAGGCCTGGGGCTTCCCTTACATCTCATTATATTTTCTCTTTTCCCACCCCTCACTGCCTCCTCCTGCTCCTAGTCTTCCTGGCAGTGGATGTAATATCTAATGGAAGGACTGAGAGGACCTGGAGAACTCAAAACTGGTAGAGAAACCTTGAGTATGTTGCTTCACCACCATGGAGTTTCAGTATTCCTCATATATAAAATGGACATAAAAGAAGAACACCTGTACAATATTTCAGAAAGGTTTCAATGTGTTCATCTATGCCTGACCCATAATAGGGGCTCTGTAATCTTTGTTCCCTTCCCCAAATTAAAGAAAGATAGTGAATCCCAGATGCCCTATTGTCATGTATGGTCCATTACCCTTGTGGGAGGCAGAACCAGATTACTGGTGGTTAACCAGATTTAGGGAAAGGGTCTGGCCTATTTACTCTTTCCACAGGACTTATCATGGTGAGCCTAGACTGGAGGCTTACAAAAACGAGGGACAGTTTTTCCCACATGCTATATATAGTGGCAGACACAATATTGACCATATTCAACAAGAAAACATATTTGATTGCTATAATTATTTCTTTTCATCATAATCACCATGATAACAACAACAATAATAACATCAGCGCTGAATAACAGCCTTTGCAATGAAGGAGGAGACAGCAACAAATTGAACCTTTCTAGTCTCTGCCCATATGCAAATCTAAACCTTGAAATCTTAATCACAAGAGGTTATCTCATCCAGCTGTTTGCCTCCCAACAGGTCCTCAACATAAAGATTAATCTTGTCTTTCAAACTTCCCCAGGAAAGATAACCATTTGAGAAGTAAAAAAAAAAATTCATTAGACCACAGCCTCAGCCCTACTTTTATACTTTGATGATGGATGAAGAAAACCTGCATCAGTGATGGTGAGGGTAGAAGTAGGTACAGAAAATGAAACTCAGGAAATAATAGTACTTGGAGAAGATCATCAGTACATTTTAATTTTATTGAAATTAGATGACACATCCCCATGTACATGCAGATATATGTATCTCTATACCTCTGTTCTGGTATTGGTTACTTCAGTCACCTTATACAGAGTACCTCACAGGATGTGTTCTCACATTACCAACTTTCTATGGTTCCATTTTCTATCCAGTAAAACAGAAATCCTAAGGAAAGAAAAATAGTGCACCAATGTTTGGTTTCCTAAAACACCTACCTCATACGGATATGTTTCAGCAAAAGTTTACAATGGTTTTCCATTGCTTCATAAATAAAGTCTCAAATGCTGAGCATTGCATTTCAGACTCCTATGATCTCTATATACAGAGAATAGGTTCTTTGTAGATACTCACTAAATCAATACACATAATGAATCCAAACTTTTCCATACTTAAATATGTTTTCATGTACAGTATGACAGTTCCTGACAATGTTAAACATGGAGTTACAACCTGAAATTTCACTCCTAGTTTCATAAAAGCAGTTTTTATTCTAAGGGAAAAATAGGAACAAATAAAATGCCCCTTTACTGATGAATTAGTACAAATATATGGTGTCTCTCTTCAGTAGAATAATATTCAGTCAAGAAAAGGAATTAAATAGGGGGCTGGGGTTGTGGCTCATTGATGGAGCACTCATCTCGCATGTGCAGGGCCTGGGTTCCATCTTCAGCACCACATTAAAAAATAAATGAGTGAAATAAAGGTATTGTGTCCAACTATAAAAAAAATAAATATTAAAAAAAGGAATTAAATACTGATACATGTTATAGCATAGATGAATCCTAAAAACATTGTGGTATATGAATGATGTCAGACACAAAATGCCACAAATTTTTACTTACATTGATATGAATTACCTAGAAAAGGCAAATCCATTCAGACTTCAGACAAAATGCTGATTAGTACTTGCCTGGGGCTAGAAGGAAAAGGGAATGGAGAGTGACTGCTAATGGTTATGAAGTTTCTTTTTAGAGTGATGGAAATGTTTTGGAAGTTGATAATAGTAGTATATCAAATATACTAAAACACTAAATTGTATACTTTTAAAAGTGCAAATTTTATGATATGTGCATTCTATTTCAGTAGAGATTTTTTAAAAAGAGTAGATATAAATACAACTGGCCATCTGAGGAAACCAGAATTATAAGAAGGGTCTCCATTTTACTAATAAATCTTAACAGTCTGATTTATTTTTGGCTTGGCCCATTTTTTTTGGCCTGATCCTAAACTAATTATGACCATCTATATAGTGGAAATCCTGCAACTCAGCCAAATGTTTCTCCATACGCTCTCAGCTCCTCATTTTCTTGGAAGAAGACTAGGGAGTATTAATTGCAGAAAAGAAATGCAAGGCCTCTTCTGGACTTTCCTCCCTGAAAGGATTTGCAGGCCTGTGACTCAGGCTTATACTAGCCAGTATCATGTGTCTGATAGCCAGACTCTTATCTAGAAACCTCTGACATTCCCCGAACAGCAGCCTGTTCTGCTAGCCAAAGCCCAAGCTGTTTCTCCTAATTCATTCATCACTAACTTTATGCAGGGCCATGCTTGAAAGTCATGCTGCATCTTGCCAAGATGATGCAGAGAAGGGCCATGCTGCAGTTCTTCTGTGGTGGGGGATGGGAATGGGGAAGGGGTGGAGGGCTAACAGGAGGGAGGCTCCACAGAAGGGCTTGGAAGAAATCATTGTCAGTTTGAAGCCACTGGCATGAAGAGGGAGGATGGGAAAGAAGGATGCAACTATAACATATCTTCTTTTGCTTATGGTGACTAGAGAATCTTGGACTGGGCCCAATATCTCATGTAAGTTCATGCGCAAAAACATAAGCACCCACCAAATGCCTTTGATAATATTAACCAATCTCTCCCCTCTTTCCCCTCTCTTCCCTCCAGGGTCACTGCACTTTCCTTGACCCTAAGAAGACTATGGAATTGGCATCTGGGACATGAGTAGTGCATTTGTTACCTGAAGAATAGATTTATACCTGTACCTTCCATTCAAGGCTGACCCTCATTGAAATATATGCATGGTATTTTAGCCTCCCTGGTTAAGCATAATTGGAGCAGTCCACACTCCATGAAACTCCAATCTCCACCTTCTGTAATTAGATACATTTACCTGTGCAGTCAGGTCATACATTTCTTCTGCAAACAGCTATATAGGATACTAGCTTGCTTCAAAATCTTAAAGGACATTTTTTTATGTTAAGAATCTTGGCTTAGGTGCCTAGAGAATTGAGTTCTAGTATTGGCTTTGTTGCTGAATGGTAAAAGACTTTGGGAACATCAGTTTCTTTGTTTGGACTTGAGTTTCCCTATACACTCTAAAATAAGAAAGCAAAGCAAGGCTATTTCAAAACATTCTTCCAAGTATAAAGTACTTTGAGTTGGAGAAGAAATTTTCAGTAGGAATGATAAAGGTGAGATATTATGAATTATTTCCCCAAAACATTTAAATTGTCATTGATAAAGGTGTTTTAGTAATGGAGAGAGCTGTTTCCAGATCTGTTTCCATGGAAATGGACTGCTGAGGGTATTTTACAAATTTGTCATAAAACAAATGACTTAGTTGCATAAATAGCATCCTCAGTTATAATTTAGGGAAGAAAGGCTTATGTGCAAGTGGTTGAATAGGTTGGGATAGGTAGGGGAAGAGGAAATGGTTCTATACCCCAGTTCTCCAGAGAGAGCTCAATGAGGGCCTGTCAACTCTTTTTGTGAAGGCTTATTACAATAGGGTGGCATCATTGGAGAGTTCTGGGAGTAGAAGATGACAACA